TATATATATATATTTAAATATTCTGTAAAAAGTGAAAAGAGATTAAGTTATCTGTAAGAACACGAATACATACACAATTATCGGCTTTCGCTGCGCCGCGCTGCAAAATACAGATTACCTGACCAATTACGCTATCATACTCTTTTTCAAATTACTATTTAATATAATTCGCACAAAGTCAATTGACTTTTGCGAGTTTTGGAAAAAAAAAAAAAAAAAAAAAAAAAAAAAAAAAAAAAAAAAAAAAAAAAAAAAAAAAATGTACATTATTCTTATGTTCATATTCTGTTCCTTCCATCTTTTTCTTTTTTTTTTTTTTTTTTTTATTTTTTATTTTTATTTTTATTTTTATTTTTATTTTTCTATACATAGTACTTTGTCAAATATTTATTTATTATATACTTAACAAAAAAAAAAAGGAAAAAAGAAAAAAAAAAAGGAGAGTTAGGAAAAAAGAAAAAAAAAAAAGAAAAATTCATCTCTTTCTACGCAAAAGTATGCAATCGAATAACAGTCAGGTAATCTCGCGCTCATTACATTTTATCGTACACACTAAAATTCTACTAATCTCGTTGAGTAGTGGGGAAACAGGATTGCATATGCCCACAGGTGTGTAACGACCTGTATGCCTATAGTAAAAAAATATTTTGAGGAAGATATGTTTTGAGTAGAAAGACAACTTAATTACTAAATTCGCGCGCTAGCAGAACCTACCATTTTATCGTATATTTGTAATAACGAAATACATGAATTATATATACATCTTTCTCTTCTCTTTTTTTTTTTCTTTTTCCTTTTTCTCTTTTTCTCTTTATTTCTTCTTTTCTTCCCTCTACCCCCCCCCCTATTTTCTTTCTCCCGATGTTGCGATACGTACGTACACAATTTTAGGTAGGATCTGCTATAATGCATGATTTTGCTATAACGCCATAAAACAACAAAATTACAATCAACATTACATAATAGCGTTACTGCAAAATGCGCAATGCCAGAATTGGATCCCTTTTTTTTCATGTTTGCTTTAATTTAGGATTCAAAACACAATTGCAATACACATTCGATGTCGTTTCAAGTAATATTCTTTCTCTCTATCATTTCTCATATCACATAAATATATATATATATTATATATATATATATATTTATTTGTAATTGTCAACATCGAATGCGTTATATATAGTTGGAATACCTATCTGTGGAAAAAAAATTGCGCGCAATCCGACACCGACAAATTATATTAAATGTATTTTTTAAATTGTTAAAATATTATAATTTCAATGTCGGATCATCGCGCGTCGCGCATCATAAATTGCATGACAAAAAAGAGAAAGCTTTCCGCACTGAAACGCGAAAAAGATTTCGCTCTAACGCATTCCAAAGAACCGCATTGTTTATGCTCGTGCACATGTAAACAATACACTTGAGTATCTTCATTGAGATACCATCGAACTTGGTCACGATGATTTATTATTGAATTATTTTATACATCGATACCAATGTGTACGAATACATGTGCAAAACATTATTTAATTTATAATACGATTACTTTGATTAATAAACCTACCTTAGCTTCGTCAAGTCTTGCTAATGCTTTCAAAAGATTACCAAGATCACTCCTCACACAATAAAGATCCTGCAATATAAAATAAATATATATATACATATATATATATATGCACATAAATATAAAACTTTTATATATATTAATTATAAATGTTAAACGATAAAAATTTATATAAAATGTAGGATATTCTCACAGGGTTATATTGTAGAGCAGTGATATATGCTTGAACAGCTTGCTCCATGTCTCCTGCCGCTACTAAAGCTGCAGCTAAGTTGATATATCCGTCGATGAAATCAGGTTTAAGTCTGACCGCGTGTCGGTAATTCTCCAAAGCTTCTGGAAGCTGTCCACGTTCTTTGTATACGTTTCCTAAGTTACTATAAGCTTCCGCCAACAAAGGATTTTGTTTTATGGCCAAGCTACTGTAATGTGCAGACCTGTGATAGATATAAAACAAAAAAAAAAAAAAAAGAAAAAAAAAGAAAGAAAAAAAAAAGAAAGAAAGAAAGAAAAAATATAATGAAATTACATTATCTACGTATAAATGTGAATCATGATTACAATACAAAAAAAAGAAGACAATTCTAACTTTTCTAATCGTCTGCACTGAAAGTGGATAGAAGAGAGCAGTAATAATACTCCGGTGTTATTTGTTTCTTGACGCCATAGTTGCATACAATGTCTTTCTGCATTTTCATAGTCACCAGCTTGATATTCCCTATGTGCAAGCTCTAGTAACCCTAAAATATCAAAGTAAAATATAATTAATAATGCGGAAATGGATGTGAATAAAAAATAAATAAATAAAAAAAAAATAAATAAATAAATAAAGATGTAAGAAAAAGAAGAGAAGAAGAGGAAGGAAAACAAAAATAAAAAAAAAAAAGAAAAAAAAATAAGACGAAGTGAAAAGCAAAGCTCTAGAGATATATTTCTCGAATTAATTTATTTGCAATGATGTCAAAATCTCAAGCTATTTTAATTAATTTAATCAAATAAAATATATTTGAAGTATAATGAAGATGGCGTTGTAAGTCTATCGATTTTCTTCACCCATAATATTGCAACAAACCGCACGTTTCGAAATTTAATATACCTAAACGAAGAGTAAACGATCATCGGAGGAATGGGGGGGCAGGAGAGGAAGGGGTAGGGGAGGGGGGAGGGGAATAGATTAAGATTAAAACAAATTAAAAAGCATGGATAAATACGAACAATAGGAATCGACGGCAACACTGATGGTCTGATTATCGGACAATGCGATTAATTCTTTTCCCTGAGGATCTTGCGTTACGACGAGAAGATTTTGTCCATTTTGCCAATCGGTGATATCCTCGGTAATCTCGTTTGTGGTACTACCATTCAAAACGTTCGAACCTTTGCATACGGTTTCCTTTTTTTCAGCTACACGTACGACACTCATTTTCGTGGTTGCTCTTTATGCACGCGGGATCACTTCGACGGACACGACACGCAGAAGGGAAAGAGTAAGAAGAAAAAAAAAAGAAGAAAACAAAATGAAGAATTTTTTTTTCTTTTCTTCCCTTCAAGAGAAACGTTTCGGCGTAGTGATACACCAGGAATGACGTGTGTGAAAGGAACGAGAGAGAGAGAAAGAGAGAGAGCGAGAGCACAGCTCCTTTTTTCTTATCGTTATTTTTTTTCTCTCTTTTTTTTTTTTTTTTAACGCCGTAACAACTCCACGTGTTCTTTCTTTTCTTTTTCTTTTTTCTTTTTTTTTTTTTAATCTTTCTTTGTTTTGATGTCCCTATCTCTCGTCTTTTATATTGAAGAAACTCGAAGTGAACACGAAGAAACGCGTTTTAACAAACACGACGAAAACTCGTTGCTTCCTTATTGCCCAGCGTTCGACGAACGGAGAAGGCCTGTGACTCTCCAGTCTAGGTAGGTTATCCCTTCCCTAGCGAACGAACGAACTAACAGTCGATTGGTCGATATAGCAGGGGGGAACTAAGGGAGGAAGGGATGAATGTAACATGGCGGACAGAACAGACCGCTCGAAAGAGCAGCAGGAGGTAGAAGAGTGAAGGGTCGCCGGGGGGCCGGGGAGCTTACGGGGGGGAGGGAGGACGTCGCCAATGTAGGGACGTATATATGTCGTTAAGTACCTGACCAATTTTTCTATGACTAAAATATATCTCGAGCTATTAGTAAATATTTTATTTTATTCCATACATTACTACGTGACGATTAAGTAAAATATTTCTTTATGGCATATTTAAAGTATTAATTAAATTATTTAATTTAAATTATTATTGAAATATATTTGACATGTATGTGTATGTGTATGTATATATATATATATATATATATATATATATATATATATATATATATACATACGAATACACATATAATATATTAGTATATTATTTATAGTACTTATATAAATATATCTATTAAATATTTATTTCATATTATAAAATATTTACTTCATTATATTATATAAAATAAAATATAATTATTTAATAAATTATTTTATTAAATTAAATTTTTTTTTTTTTTTTTTTTTTAAATAATGTATTATATGTGTCACTTACTAAATATTTCTATTCGGATAGATAAAGAGAATTTTCTGTAACCAAAAGAAAAGAAAAAAGAAAGAAAGAAATAATTGTTTTGCTTTCAAAAACAGATATCAATCGTAATTAAGTTTGAATTAATTAAAATGAAGTCATTTTTTTTTTCTCACCTAACCATCCCTCTGAATTTATTTGATAAAACATATCACACGGTCTCCAACATGCGCGCACATACGTAAGAGTACGTATTAGATCCTTCTCCGATGATCTTAGATCCACGTCTAACGTTTAAATTTATTTCTCCTTTGAAATTAGAAATGTCGCTTTTATTGACGATAAACTCTCCTGTTTTTTTTTTTTCTTTTTTCTCTTTTCCCCCCATTTAGAACATACAAACCGTGCTAATTTTTTGTCTAACTAACTATATTGACTATCCTATCTCTTCGACAATATAAAAGTGTATTCTCTCGTGACCTTTAAGAATAGAGAAGAAAATAAAATCAGACCAATCCTCTCTGCTCTACTAAGGACAAATAAATCTTTATCCTTAGAAAATCTATTAGACTCGTTTGAAAGTTTACCTAAGTATAAATTATTATTACAATATAGGCTCTATTATTAATTTTCTTTTTTTTTATTTTTCGTTGTATTATTAAAAAAGAAAAAAAAAAGGAAAAAAAAAAAAAAAAAAAGGAAAAAAAAATAGAAAAAAGAAAAAAAAAGAAAAAAAAAGAAAGAAAAAAGGGAACAAAGAAAAGAAGGAAAGAAATACCGAAAGAAAAAAAAAACAACAGTAGAAAATTGTCAGGATAAAGATATGAAATTAATTTTGTCGACAAATTTTGAAGGTTAATTGTAGAAGGAAAGTACAGGGTACCTGAAAATAATTCATACGGCACTGAATAAAGCCGAGGAATATTACCACACAGAAAGAAAGGTACGTTCGTGTTACGCTTGAGGCACCAGAGGCAGATGGAATGGAGGTACCCAGTGGAATATTCCATCGGTGCTTTTGACGAGGGCAGGGGTTAAAGGGGTGCGGTGGAGAGGCTGCGGTTCGAAAGACGAAGAGAGAGAGAGAGAGAAAGACTGCGTACGCTTCAGCGAATGAGCGAGCAAACGTACGAACGAACGAACGAATGAAGAAGAGAGAAAGAAAGAGAGAGAGAGAGAAAGAGAAAGAGAGAAAGAGAAGTACTGCGTACGCCGTTAAACGAACGAAAAAGTAAGAGAGAGAGAGAGAGAGAGAGAAAGAATCGAATATAAGGAACAAGAGGGTTAGAGCAAGATGAGAAAAATAAAATGTGCAAGAACACCCGATGAGAGAACCCGTTACATTGGCCTTTTTCAACGAAAGAGAAAAAGGAAGAGTGAGGGGTTAGGAAGAGAAAGAGGGGGGGAGAGAGAGAGAGAGAGAAAGAGAGAGAAAAACCGCTTGAACGTTACATTAAATATGCAACTAGTATTAAATTTTGATTCTAAAAGAATAAAATATATTTTTCTAATGAAATAGATCGAAATAATACCAATTTTAAAATATTGAATGGACAAATAGAGAGAGAGAGAGAGAGAGAGAGAGAGAGAAAGTGAGAGAGAGAATTGGCGGAGAGTGGAGAGGGGAGGAAATTAGCATTAGTTAAAAGATGAAAATAAACTTTGATCGTCATTCGAATATTATTCAATTCTATCTATCTTTTAAATACAATGTAGTATAATTAATAAGATCGTTCGTTTTCTATATTCTGTGGCATTGAAAAGTACCCCCCATTGTGGTTCGTTCGAATGAAATATTAATGATAAATCGTGTAGGATTTTTGTAAAGGGATTAAAAGAAAAATATGTAGATAATGGTGGCGTGACAGGATGCGTTAACAAAAAAAAAATATATATATATATATAAATTTTGATTTGTGAGGAAAGATTTTGTATATTTGTATTCGTATTATAAAAATTTTTGTTCGTTTTTAAGAATCACGGAAAAATTTTTGTTCGTAGTATTAAACCAAGCGATCGAAGAAGAAGAAGAAGAAGAAGAAGAGAGAACAGAAAAAAAAGAAAATGAGTAAAGAAAAAGAAACGAATTGAAAAGAAAAATTTGCACTTACCCGCAGTAGACAGTTGTTGTATTTCATTCATCTTAAGTATTACGCTAGTACCCGCCATTTGTTGTTGATGAGTTTGCTGTTGTTGTTGTTGCTGCTGCTGTTGTTGTTGCTGCTGTTGCTGCTGCTGCTGTTGTTGTTGCTGCTGCTGTTGTTGTTGTTGTTGTTGAGGTTGTTGCTGCGCTTGCATGATGACGGCAAGCATGAAGACGCGAAATATGTAGAGAAAAACACGATGATCGATCGTAATAATATATGGATCGAATGTGTATTATTAACAATTCGACGTATTAACGAATTGAATTAATCGATTGTTGCGTTTAATTTATCTCGTATAAACGATTAGTGATACGCGATGTAAACAATTGTAAATGTTTTTTTTTTTTTTTTATTAACGTGTAAGCTATTATCGCGAGCTTTACGTGCCCGCCATGATGGATCTCGTGTCTCGAGCAATGGATTCGTTTCTCTGCGATCGAGCCTACGAATGTGGAAGAAAGAGAGAGAAGGAAAGATATAGAAGAGAGGGGGAAAGAGAGAGAGAGAGAGAGAGAGAGAGAGAGAGAGAGAGAGATGGAGATACGGTTAAAGAGTAAAGGAAAAAATATGTATGACGAACACTAACACACCACGTTGAAAATAATATTAATAAAACATTTTTCTTCGTTTTAATCGAATTTTTCCGTTCTCATTCGTTCTAACGTTCGATACGTTCTATTTATCTTCTGTTTCGTTCGCGCAGGTAAGAACAATATTGTAAGCCCGACACAAGCCAATCGATGCGCCTGTAGGTCTGCCTTCGAGATTGCTACGGTCATTCCCAAGCCCGGGAAATTTGAATTTGAAATTAACTTCTTATTGTTTATCGTTTTGTACGATCATTATCAAGAAAAAAAAAATATATATGTATATATATATTGTTTTCTTTTTGTTCTTAATTTATACGAATGAAATGATTTACATGGAATTTTTTTTACGTAACGTAAAAAACGTTCATATTCATTTAATTCTTTGTGTCAATTTAATTGTTCGTTCGCTGTGATATCGAATCTTAGAAATATAAAAGATTTTCGAAGGAAGAAGAAAAAGAAATAAATAACAAAAAAAAAAAAAAAAAAAGAAAAAAAGAAAGCAAAAAATTAATGAAAAAATAAAAAAGAGAGAGAGAAAGAGAGAGAGAGAGAGAGAAAGAGAAAGAGAGAGAAAATTCGTTCAATGTTCATGCGCAAGCGTTCACCGGTTAATCCATTTCTATACAAGCGCCCGAAGCGTCGTAAAAGTGAGTTAACCTCAATATCATACCTCCCACCATACTGTCGCAATGCGGATCACGAGTTCTTTCCCTCTCTTATAAATTTTGTCCGAAGATCTATGTTTGTGTGTTCTCTGCTGACCTTCATTCATTTCCTTTGCGAGTACATAATGGCCAACGCTAAAGAACGTACCTTCATCATGATTAAACCCGATGGAGTCCAACGTGGACTCGTCGGGAAAATCATTCAACGTTTCGAGGAAAAGGGTTACAAACTTGTAGCCCTTAAGATGGTTTGGGTAAGTTTAATTGCATTTGTGTGCTCTCTTAATTACATTTTGAAAGCGCAGAATCCGTTCTTTGATTCTCCACGTGGACACCGGCATTTTTATCCGATTGACTTCTTTTTTTTCTTTTTTTTTTTTTTTTTTTTTTTTTTTATCATTGAGAATGATTAACGTTTATATAACGTCGAAAACACGAAATAAAGTAGATATTTTATGAATTTTAAATCTGATTAAAAAAAAATTAGACTCGATTATGTTGTTCTTTATATGTATAAAATTATATGTATATATATATATATATTATATCAATATGTGCCAATACATGGCAACTTTTCAAATAGATATGCATTAGAATATATATTATCTAATGCTTGATTATTCAACATTGGTTAGATATTTAATTTGATAATTATTTTTTTCATTTTCTATTAGCCTACCGAAGAGCTTTTAAAGAATCATTATGCTGATCTATCGTCCAAACCTTTCTTTCCTGGTCTTGTAAAATATATGAGCTCTGGACCAGTTGTACCTATGGTAAATAATTTATAAAATACTTAAAATATTATGTTATAAATAAATGTTATAAAATTATATTATGTATTAATCATAGACGAGTATAAATGATAATGGATTTAAATTTAATAAATATTATTTCATAAGGTATGGGAAGGCTTAAATGCTGTGAAAACTGGACGTGTAATGCTTGGAGAAACAGATCCAAAGAATTCAGCTCCAGGTACGATTCGTGGCGACTTTTGTCTTCAGGTTGGACGTAACATAATTCATGGTTCTGATTCGGTCGAATCTGCGGATAAAGAAATAAAGTTGTGGTTTGGAAACACGGAAAAGGATAGTTTGATAGATTGGGCATCTTGGGCTGAAAAATGGATCTATGAATAAACAGCCAAGAGGTAATATTTTAAGGGAATAGATTTTTAAAAGTTATATATCTTTTAATATAATCTATTCCTTTTTAAAATTAATATTGTTAAAACTTTACTATACTCGGTAAAAAAATTGTACATATATTATTGAATAGTCTTTCCAAGACACAATAAAAAATACTCTTTCAGGAAAATTGCATGGTGTATTGTATGTTAAAGCTTTTATAATTTAATAATCCCTTTAAATAAATAAATAAATAAATATATATATATATATTGTTTCTCACTCTATCATAGGTAACATTTTATTACACACTGCCATTGTTAAAATTATATTCTGCAATCCTATAAAAAAGTTTCCAACCTGAATCAAAGTGGAATACATTGTATTACTTATGCAAGTACTTTTGATCACACAGAAGCCTTATAAGTAATAATTATCAGACGTCTATAAATCATTTATCAACCTGTATTAATCATTATTAACAAAGATAATAAGAAAAAGATTAAATATAGTTATGATAAACATGGACAATAGGAAATGATATTTTAAAAAAACGAATTTAATTACAAAAAATACTTTTCTGTATCAACAATACTCTTATATGTTTATATGTATATGTATTCTTCCTATTAAAATAATAAAAAAAGTATACAAGTAATCGTCTCTAAAATATATTGAATAAACTATACCTATATATATATATATTAATATTGAACAAATTATTTATTCTTAATCAATATAACAAGATTTTATTTTTAATAAATCTTTGATTTTATATATTAATTAAAAAAATTCATTATTCTTTGTATATGAAATTGTATTAATGAATTAATTACTGTATAAAATAGTTAATACTGTAAAATGAATTGTTTTTCTTTTTATAAATAAAAAAAATCGAATACAATCTCAATCACAAAGTAGATTAGAGATAATAAAGGAACGAACGTAGAAAAAATAGGATATATTTCTAATAAGATATAGTATTGGTAAGATTAATCAATTGTTAGATTGTCCTAAGAAACTTTTACATAATGGACAATAATGTTTCATCCTTAAACAATTATCCATACAATAAGGAATGGGTGCGCAGCACCAAAATCTGAAAGAAAAAAGAAAAAAAAGAAAAATATATATATTTTCAATATTTTAACATATTCATTAACGTATTAAATAATTACAAGAGATTTTATATGATCTTACCCTATTATGCAAAGAAAAAGTGCTATTGCATGCGTTGTAATGGTTGTTTCAGTCTCCACTTCACTTAATATTCTTATACCACAATGTGGGCATATCATTAATCGTGGTTGTGATCCAAAACCTCCTCCAATCATCACATCTATTAATTAAAAATCGTTTAATTAATTAATCAGATTAGAACAAAATGCACTAAGAAAAATGTAATAAGAAAAAAAATATACTCTGTCGTAGTAGTAGCGGTGGTGCTGGTGGCGGTAGTAGTAGTAGTGGTGGTGGTGGTGGTGGTGGTGGTGGTGGTGGTGGTGGTGGTGGTGGTAGTGGTGGTGGTGGTGGTGCATATCCATAATAAATAGGGGGTGGAATAAAATTATGTGATGGTAAATCTTTATTCATATCGATTTTTTATCGATAAATATCTATAAAAAAAAAAATTGTGAACGTTAGAAAGATCAAATTGAACTTTATTCGATGATTCGTAAAAGACACAAGTGTTTATTATTTCACGATGTTTGTACCAATTTACAGAAATGACATAATACATTTGAGAAAATATCGAATGAAATTTTCTTAAATTTAAGAAAATTTAAGAAAATTAAACGTCAATTTAATGATGATTAATGTATAATAATTCCCAATAATTATTTTCTCTTTTCTCTTCCTCCTTTTTTTTTATTTTTTTTTTATTTTTGTTATTTTTATAATTGTTGACAAATGAGAGAAAGCTGAGTTTCTTATCTGTTAGAAGAGTGAGAAAACATTATTTAAATATAGAAATATTTATATTTAAAAAAAAAAACAAGAAAAATCTTTTCAGAGATAATCATAACATTGTTTTTCTTCGTTAATCTTTAGCCTTTAAAAATCATAGTACGTTACACAACAACGATAAGCGATAAATAAACATCCTATATATTATCATCATTACCAATGGAGACAGCATTGATCGATGTTGAAATAGTAAAAATTAAGAAAATATATTCGTTTTGTCGGGTGTTTTATTAATTAGATTATGATCGTGTGTTTTTGGAACGATTTAACAAAGTTTCCTATTCTTTGTCCTTTTTTCATTCTCCTTAAAAATCTACAATTAACCAAAATATTTCATAAAAAGAAACAAAAAAAAAAATAAAAAAAAAAATAAAAGCAAAAAAGTCTTATTTCCTATGAAAAATAAGAAAATACATATGAAAAAAAAATTCTAAGATGATTAGAACATTCTAATACGTATATATATGGATCAATTCACTGATATCATTTCATTTTCTATGGAAAACTTTTTCCTTCTCGTGGTTTAAAAATACATAAATTGTATAAATTTATTGAAACTATGCTCGTTTGACGACGACGACGACGACGACAACGTTTTATTGCGTCATTAAATTGCGTCATTTTTAATATAAATGAATCTCTTTATGTATATTTTCTAAAAAAAAAAAATATATGTGAAAATTATAAATAACGAACGAACATAAAGACGATGCACGATTATTTTATCATTCATTGAAACGAAAAGGAATTGCGTAAACCAATAAAACTGGTTTTCCTTTTTTTCCCTCTTTTTTTTCTTTCTTTCTTTTTTTTTTTTTTTTGATTCGTGTAATTCATAACTCTCCTTAGATACGTAATTATTACATTTGAATTTGTGAATCTACAATACGTATTTCCTCTTTCTCTCTCATATATATATATATATATATATATATATATATATATATATATATATGTTTTTTTTTGTTTTTTTTTTTTTAAATCTCTTCTTTTATCCTTTTTGTTTACCTTCAGAGAAATTCCTTATTTAAACAAAAATTATTACACGAATATAATAATATACATTCGTAATAATCCGATGTTTACCTTATACAGTATCACGACTTGGTATCTCGTAAAACTATTAGATAAATCTAAAGAAATATCGATTCACTTATTACTTGTTCACTGTTCACAGACAAACTGAACTCAAGATTGATTATTTCTTACAATGTATCGGGTTAAAAAGAAAGACATTTTTCAATGGGGAAAAAAAAGAAGAAAAAAAAAAAATCTTGATTAGTTTCTACGAAGCAGTATGATTCAATTCGATTCAATTCGATTCAATGTTCTTCTTTCCTTGATTTTTATTTATTTGTTTATTTGTTTATTTATTTATTTATTTATTTATTTATTTATTTATTTATTTATTTATTTATTTATTTATTTATTTATTTATTTTCCATTTTTTTTCTTTTTTTTTTTTTCCTTTTGATCCTTTACCTTTTGAATCATTTTGTTCGATTCCCAATTTCTCTCATTGACGAATTTTTTTTTATGACATGATGTCATTGCGCATTTGAAGGGAGTAAAAAGGGACAGGAATAGGGTGTTCTTCGATTAAGATTCTTTCCTCTTATGGTTTTATTTATCGTTCAAATTTTCTTGTTACGATTTTATTGATGCAATGCCTTTGGGTAACTTTATCGGAAGATATAATAATCGAAGAAAAATGTTATCTAATTTTTAATACGAATGCATTGTTTATCTCTGACACGATCATCTCTCTCTCTCTCTCTCTCTCTCTCTCTATAGGTATTAATTAATCGAATAAATTGTATTCCTAAAATTATTTCATTTCCTATATTTATATTTATAGAGATTTTCTTAGATGAAGCAATTTTCTTTTATCTAAAAATATCTCTCACGACGAGTTAAATAAAGAAAAATTATTATTATAAATAATCATAATATTATATACAATCTAATACCGCATATTGAATCTAATCAAACCAAATTATTTACAAAATTTGACATTGATGAAAAAAGAATTATTAGAACATAGTAAATGTATTATTGCGATATCAAAGAATGATCTTTTATTAAATAGTCACACTCTGTATAAATTTACGTTGTTGTTTGGAGACAAAGAAAAGGATTGGATTTGTGTAACAGCTAGGAGATAATATTTTAAGGGAATAAATTTTTCAATATTATACATACTTTAATATAACTTGTTTCATCCTAAAATTAATATTGCAAAAATTATGCTTTATTCAAAAAAACAAAAAAATTATACATGAATTAAGCGATCTCTTTAAAAAGCAATAAAAAAAATACTCTTACAGAAAATATAGCTGGCATTAATATATTGTGCGTCAGAGCTTTTTTAGTTTTATAATTACTTAAAATTTTTGGTCATACAGCCATTGTCCATTTATATATAGATACACACACATATACATGTATGCATTTACCGTATCAAAATAATAAAGAAAATATACAAACAGAAATAATCTTTAGAATTTGTTGGTTAAAATATATATATATATATATATATATATATATATATATATATATTATTTGTGCAATTTTAATATATATATATTTTTTTATTTATATAACAAATTTTTATATTTAATTATTAACAGTATCATAAAATTGAATGCAAATTTACGGTTAATTATATATTAAGTAGAAATTCATTATTCTTTGTGTATGAAATTGTATTAATAGGAATCCATAACAAATTATCTATTCACAAACAATACTTATGGACATACTATCATAATAATTATTTTTCAATTCTTATATATATATAAGATATTCAAAAAGGTTAGATATTGTATTTCTAAGATAGAAGGCACAATTGTTCATAATTAATAGAACTTTCCTTATAATTTCCAGTTTAGGAATATATATTTATAAATAAAAGAAAAATAAAAGAAAAAAAAAAAAAATAAAACAGATTCTCAATCTATTCAAAATATATAAGACAATAAAAGAATGACAAATAGAAGAACAGCATGTATTTCTGTATTAATAAGTCAAATCAATTGCTTGATTGTCCCAAGAAAGCTCTACATGATGGACAATAGTGCTTCTGTATTAAACAACTATCCATACAATAGGGTATGGGTGCACAACACCAACATCTGAAACAAAAAAAAAACAAAAAAAAAAAAAATAAATAAAATAAAATAAAATAAAATAAAACAAAAAAGTAGATAATATTTTCAATCATTTAATATATCCCTTAACTGAATGAAATAATTAGAAAAGATGATTTTACCCGACAAGACAAAGTATCAGAGCAAATAAATGTGTCTTTGTATTAGATTCGCTCTCCACAGAAGTGGATATGCTACTTCCACAATATGGGCATGTCATTTGTTGTGTAGTTGACCCAAAAGAGATACCTGGCACAATTATCACATCTATTGATGAAAAATCATTTGAATTAATTAAAAACAAAATCAATAAGATTGAAAAAAAAAAAAGTTACATACTTTGATGTTGTTGTGGTGGTACTGGTGGTGGTGGACCACTTAAGTTATATGCAGGAGGTGGAACAAATCCAGGTGGAGGTGCATCTTTACTCATTTTAACTTTTTAATTAATAAATATCTGCAAAATTGGTATTATGAATGTTAGAAAGATCTGATCAAACGTTGTTTTCGAAGATCTGATCAAACTCGTCTTTTTTTTTTCCTTCCACAGAAGACGCAACAAGTGTTTCTATATTCACGATATCTTATAACAGTATATACGAATGACGTAGATATTATATTCGTGAAAATAACGAATGAAATTTGATATTTAAATGATATTGCAACGTTGCCTTTCAATCCCGAGTATTATTATTCTATAAATCATAGTTTGCTATTATTAATTTTTATTCACCTTTACGTTTCAATTATAACAATATTTTATCTATCATTAACACATCTTTATATGTCGCAAAATTTTTATTGTCATAAATATACGTATTTCTGTTTATCTTGAAACATAAGCAAAGATTAAAACGTGGCTTTTATCGACGATCGAATTAATGATTGTTCTTATAATTATTTTTTTTTCTTTTTCTTTTTTTTTTTTTTATTTTTCTTTTTTTTTCACACATAATTATTTAACAAATGAGAAGAAAGTTGAGTTTCTCATCTGGTAATAGAACGTGAGAGAAAAAAAAAAAGTATAAACAAGAGGAAGTAAAAAAAGAAAAGAAAATAAATACTTGTCCAAGATTATGATGATATTTTTTTTCTCGTTAATCTTTAGCGTGTATTATACAACGACGATAAGTGATAAGATAAATCATCCTATGTACTATCATTATCGTCAATTTATCTTCTTTATCTTTGTTAGGTTTTCCATCTTGACGAAAAATCGATCGTTCTCGAAACGCCCATTAGAGGTAGCATGATCGATATTGAAAAAAAAAAAAGAAACAAATTAAGAAAATATATTCTTTGTGTTTTATTGGTCAAAGTGTCGTCGTTTTTCTTTTTTATGATTTTTAAACGTTTTCGAATATTCATTTTCTTTTTTTTTTTTTTTTTTTTTTTCATTTTAAGAATCTACGGTTAACCAAAGATTCATGAATATTTACTTTCACACGTAGTCGGCCATTGCAAACGTACAAATAACCAATCAGCATCCATTGAGTTTCATCTCAAAAATACAGCGTAAATTTAAATTTCATTAAACGATCTTATATGCAATGAGGTCAAATTGTATATCTACGTGACTATTTTGTAATTATTTATTAATTAGTACTAATTCGAGTTCATGTGTACGAATATCATTGATATTATGTCATTGAAATAATGTCATTAAATCGATAATATCAGACTATGACTTAGGTTTATTATATTCGATCAAGCGTTAAATCAAAAAATATAATCGATTCAAGAAATATTTGAAATTTTACATATTACTTCGTTGTTAAAGGAGACAAAAAATATTTAATTTTTATTTCTGATTCGATCGATCAGACGTGAATAAAAGAATATCATAAAAAAAGTGATCTAAATAGTAGATAATTGCAAGGTTAGAATTTTAATTCTATCATGTTATAATCGAACATAATGAATTTTTAGAATGGCTTTTTAAAAAAAAATTATGATGACATAACGAAGTCGATGGAGGAAAAAAAAAAGAAGAAAGAAAGAAAGGAAAAAAGAGAAGATCTTTTTTAGCTACAAGAAGAAAAAAAATTTCAAATTATAAGAGGATTCAAATGTATATATATATATATATATATATATATATATATATGTATATATGTATATATGTATATATATATGTAAATCAATTTGCTGATATCATTATCATTAACTATAAAAACTTTCTCCTTTTCCATATTTAGAAAACATCATATATTATTCTCAAATGATATTTATTTTACGCAATAAAATAATTGATTCATCGGAATCTTTATATATATATATATATATATATATATATATATATATATATATATATATACAAATTTTTTCTTTCCAAAGAACAATATGTATGACTCATATAACCGAGTTTAATCCTTATCTATAAATCATGATATATGTTAGTGCAAATAATTATCGTACGACAAATCATGATTTTAATTTCAGATCGAAATGAAAATAAATCATATATTTTATAAGTAAAATATATTATTTTACGTACGTTTGAAAGAGAAAAAAAAAGAAAAAAAAAGAAAAAAAAAACAAACAACGGAAGATGAAAAGAATTTTCTTGTTTTGTTTTTTTAGAAAATATTAATCGTCCAGAATCGATGAATTTTCCCAAAAAATTCATATATTTATAATTTTCCATTAGTATTCCTACCTGTTGCACTTGAAACTGTGATATCCTTCTGCGATATGTACTTTCTCTCTCTCTCTCTCTCTCTCTCTCTTCCTCTCTTCCTTTCTCTTTTTTGGATATTTGCTTATATCCTTTTCTTCACCTTTAGAAAGATAATTTTCTTATTTACAAAATAAATATTATATAAATATAATATAATATATATATATATATATTATAATAAATGAACTCGTAACAATTGAACAATGATGGACGGCTATTATATATAATATCAAGACACCGTGGAAACTCACGGTAAAGTTAACGAAATATATGATCTTCTTATCGTGTCTTCGCTCGTTAAACGAACAAACTGAGGGAACTCTTGGATTGAAACGTTACTAGGTACGATAATATCTACCTTAATCATACACAGAGGTCGTAGTGGTAGTCAAAGAGATATGGTTTCTACGAAGAGTACTCCTGATACTTCCGGGGGACTTCTAAAAAATCACTTGATAATATGACGCATCAATATATATATATATATATATATATATATATATATATATATATATATATATATATATATATATATATATATATATACAATATCGATCAAACATTTTCTAGATCTCTTCTTATAAATTTCTTTTTTTTTTCTTTCTTTCTTTCTTTTTTTTTTTTTTTTTTTTACCTTTTTTTTCTGTTTTCTTTTCATTACTCTTTTCGTACATCTTAATTTAACTTACAGCATTATTATTTCTTCATCATCGAGATATTCAATTATTATTTGACGAAGGTTGAAGCGACATGACGTCATTGTGCGTTTGACGACGGCTACGAAGGTGGCTGAGGAGGGCGGGGACAGGATGAACGAGAAGTAGCGATGAGTGTAATTATAATTGATTTCCTTCGATGACAAATCATTTTCTCGTTTGTGTCATGCTCTTCTTCTTCTTCTTTTCTTTTTTTTTCTTTCTTTCTTTTTTCGTTTTCCTTCCTTCTTTTTCTTTCGATCAACGTCGACCGTTCTTTCCATTTCTTCTTCTCTTATGAATCTTTCATCTTTGTTATATTCTTTTTCCATTTTATCAATCTCTATATGTAACGATAACGATTTTAATGTATCGAGATATTAGAAATGAGATTAGAACGAAATGATTGAGATACGTTGGAAATTATTCCGATATATTTCCTTTGATAAAGAATTTTGATAAAGAAATAGTATTATTTACTACGTAAAAAATTCTTTTTTTTTCTTTTTTCGCTAAAATTCTCCATTAAATAAATATAAGATTTATCGAATTAAAATCTGATAGAAGGGTGCAGGTTGTGTGTGTGTGTGTGTGTGTGTGTGAGGGAAGGGGGGAGAAATATCGGAACGATACTGATACAATAATTTATTTTTACTTCAAGATGAAATAATCGAAGATAAATTATATTATATCTGTTTTTTTTTTTTTTTTTTTTTTTCATACGAAGATATTTATCTCTTAAACGATCGTCTCTTTTCCTTTTTGATAGATATAAATTATAAATCGGTAGAATTTGTTTTACCATTTAATAAGAATTCTTCTATCTAAAGTATCTCTTTCGATGATTTAACAGATAAACGTGAAATGTTACTATTAATAAAAATGTTATTATTAATAAAAATTAATATTAATACCAGGATGGATTAAAAGTTTATCAGATGATATATGTATATATAAAATGAAAAACTTTTATCTTTCACAATCTTCTATCTTGAGATCTTTTCAAGCATAATTTCTCTTTTTATTTCTTCAATTATCAATCAAGTTTTCTCGCAATTTTCAACAATTCGTAAAAATGAAATAATGTGTCGTTTCAAAAGTTCTTGTAAAAGTGTAAGTGATTTTTTTTAAATCGCTCGTAGGGCGCCGCGCCTTTTCTTTTCCTTTTTCTTTTTTTCTTCTTTTTTTTTTTCGTGGATCATATATATCTAAGGTTTGCTTGAAGAAATTCGTAACTTTTTATTTATTTATTTTTTTTATTATTATTATTATTATTATTATTATTATTATTATTATTATCATTGAAAAGAATTCGCAGGAAAAGCACATTTTTACGCGTTTCTATTTATTTATGTATGTCTGCATGTATGTATTATGTGTATATGCATATGCACGTACCATTACAAAATTCGAGATACAATTATAACGTCGATATTTGTTATTATTATTGTTGTTGTTGTTGTTGTTGTTGTTAATGTGTTTTTATTGTTTTTTTTTCTTTTTTTGTTTTGTGTCATTATCGTTAATTAGAAAATTGAATACTTTAATACTAAGTATTCGAATATATTTGGAATCGATGAATAGAAAAAAAAAAATAAAAAAAAAAAATAAAAAAAAAAATATATATAATAAATAAATAAATAAATAAAAAGGAGTAACTTTTAGTTGTTGTGTTGTCGTCATCGTTGGATCATTACATTAATGTTTCTAATTTCACAATAATACCATTTGTATATACCTCTCGTTTATATATTATATATATTTATATATATATATTTATATATACATATACATATATATATATATAGCCTAATAAATTCTTTGGCTAATAGTTTTAACAATTCGAATAATAAACGCGTTATATAAACGTAACGACATAAAAATCTTATAATGGAAACAATAACGTTTTAATTTTCATTTTCATTAACTTTCCTTTTATTTTTGTTCTTTTCTTTTCTCGTTTCTTCTTTTCCTTTTTTCTCTTTTTTTTTTTTTCTTTATTTTTTTCTTTCTTTTTTTTGTTCTCGTTACTTTTCTCTTATAATCGAAATTAGAGCTAATATCCAATTCAAAGAACGAGTCCTTTTTTCAAATTTTCATTTAAATCAAATTTCATATCTTAAATATGATAATTATATTATTACAATGTATCAATATGCGTTCATTCAGATATACAATACTTAAATAATTAAATTCCCGTAGTATTATAATGTAATCGTCAAATTATAATATATTGTTTATCAATCGTTCATTTAAATTAATCACCTTAACGTTATAAGTACCCTTTTTAATCTGGCAAACGATGAGAAAGCATGAGAAAAAAAATATAATAATTATAATAATAATAATAATAATAATAATAATAATAATAATAATGATAATAATAATAATAATAATAATAATAATAATAATAATAATAATAAAAATAATCATAATGATAATAATAATAAAAATAAAAATGATGATAACGATAATAAAATGTATTAGGAATGAGTTATAGTATCTCGCAATGGACTATATGATGTCTATAACAACTTCGATATAGATCACATGGATTAACGATTAATAAATATAAATCTAATATTCAGTTTGTGTATGTTTGTGTGTATTTTTTTTTTTTTTTTTTTTTTTTTTTTTTTGACATACTACATCATACGATTAAATCACACGAGCAATCCTTGCACATTTATATGTACGTACACATACTTTTTATTCATACATATAACAAATATATAACACGATATAAGTCTAATGCAATTCGATATGCACGCAGTCGGCAGTATATATATTGAATCGACGATTTTTTTGTCTTGCCTCGAGAAAAAAAAAAAATAAATAAATAAATATATATATATATATATATATATATACA